TTGCAGCTTTTTTTCATTTTCATCGAAATTCTTCCAGCTTTTGTTTATTTTCATCGAAATTCCTCCGGCTTTTGTTTAGATTCATAGAACAAGTTGCAATTTTTGTTTATTTTCATCGAAATTCCTTCAGCTTTTTTCCATTATTATTGAAACACATCCAGCGTTTGTTTAGATTCATACAACAACATGCATTTTTTGTTTAGATTCATTGAAACTCCTCCACCTTTTTTTTAAATTCATAGAACAAGTTGCAGCTTTTGTTTATTTTCATCGAAACTCTTTTAACTGAATGATTTTATTGAAGCTTTTTTTTAGCAAATAACTTTCTATCTGAAAGCTTGAGAAGCGGTAACGTATAAGTCATAAATCTTTATTATTAATTTATCCATAAATTTATACAGAATTTTTTTTAGTAATAGTTTAATAATTTTATTGGGGTGATATTGAAATTTAATTAACTTTTAATTTAATATAACATAACTTAACGATTCCCTGGCATTGAACTCTAAATACTTTTGTATTAATACATGTGATCATCAGTCATTAATAATTTAATGTAAATTCACACTGCACCCCTTCTTTTAACATTTTACATGGTTTTGTTTGTGCTTCCACTCCTTATGCATGAACTGAAGATCATGGTATTGAGGAGGTATTGAGAATACCATTTTTACGAATTAATTAAGTTGTCTCAGCGGAGTCGTGTTGCAAACATCATGAACATTCTTCGCCTTCCATTTCAATAGAATTCTTGTTATGTCTTGAAAGGTGATGTTGACGGGCAGCAGCGCCGCATACAACTTCCGCGCATGTATCACATAACCATTATTCTTTGACAAGAGCCGATAGTTGGGCTACCGTGTCATATTGACTATGACAACCTAGCACTACAAGAATGTAGCAAACGTGGTAATTGTACGTTTGACATCAGTCTACGGCAATTTTGGCTAAAAGTAGAATGGCTATGTTGAAAAAGTTTTCTTTTTCACCAATTGCGCTTATGCATGCCTGAATGGTTTTAAAACCTGCACAGTCCCGGTGATGTTCAACTTAAACGTCATAGTTATAATTGCTTCCACTTCTTGTGTAGGCACATTTTCACATTTTCGCCTGTCCGTCTTTGAAATGAAAATATCCCAAAATGTCTACGACGATCAAGTCGCCTGAATTAAAAACATTGCGTAACAATTTCTTTTGAGAAGCCTTTTGATCGGCGTAATCATGAAAAGATGTAACGGCTTGTCGAGGATCGACCTTACCCACTAGCAATGCGGTTTCATCGGCTACACAACGTTCGCAAAGACCATTGTAATGAAGTATGGGTTCGCCTTATTCTTCATCTACACGTATTACCTGTAGCGGATACAAAGTGGGACCTACGATAAAGCCAACGACGCCAACGTGATTGGCAACATTGGCTGTTAGCTTGGCTTAGGTTTGAGTTTTAAGTTTTCGTAATGTGAACTAAAATTAAAGCTTAGCTAAATTGGAATTGCCCTGGGTGGAACCGTGCAATTCTCCTGTGTTGGGTAGCGTAGTAAACTGTGACCAAATTCGTGGCCTTACCCTATTGCTCTACATTAAGCTTACGTTGTGCAAAGTGTCTTCAGATTTCCTAGGCGTGGTCAACAAATACCGACACAATTCGCCCTTGTATTGAGCTACAGTAGCTTCGTATTTTATACAATCTTTCCAAAAGTTAAAAGCTGAGAATTCTTTACGTAATATTAGACATATTTTATTAGGTAGTGCGACTGTTACTTGCGATTTTTCACAGTGCAATTAAACACATTTTTTCTTTTATACAAGGATTAAATTTGTCGTTTTGGATGGATTGGAATTAGTTTTTTTTCCTATCGCACGCATCGTTATGTGCCGACGAGCTTCAATCCATAACCTTTAGTTGGCCGTTATCAATAGTATTTTGTGCACTATATCCCAGTATCGAAATGGCAAATACGCCGTAATTGTACCATAATCGCGGCACGTTACGTTTTCTTTCGACAGATCATGTTAAACAAATAATTTTAAAACCATAGACAATAAGAAGTTTATGCGATCTCTAGACACTCCCCATATAGCATACTCAAAACTCGAAACGACGAAAGATCAGAACTTCTTCCTTTCTCTTTTCTTAATACGGACTCAGGGTATGTCCTTTATTCGTGTAACACAGCGACGAGCGCAAAGAAGTAAGCAAAGAGAAAAAGATAAGGAGGTGGTATCTGCAACCTTTCCTAGGTATGCGTCCAATCGGTAAGTAAGTAGTTAAGCTACTACTGGTAAGTAATTGTAACGCTTTTACCGACTGAACGTTCGGCGTAGCTGCGGCCAACGTAAATTGTAAATTGGATCGCACTTGAGGTTTGAAAACGCGAGCACTGATTTCGTAGTTCCTACAATATTATTAACACGAGTACATAATTTTTCTTGTAAAACCTTTAACGAAATTTATGAGCAATGAAGACGAATCTGAAAGTTAAGAAAAAACGCCATTATAAGACAAGACATCATTATAGCCCGATATTATTGAAAAAAAAGGAGGGCTACTGTTGTCCAGTTCGTGCATATTCAGCAATTTTAAGCGGAAAAATCCTTTGACAGCGCGAAGCTAAGATCAATGCCTTACTCGATTAATTTAATTAAAATAAAAATCGATTTTCACACAAACATCATCATAACCAGGCATGGCTTTAAAAGTTCATTTAGTATTCGCCTTTTCCACTTTAAATCTTTTTTTTTTCTTTTTCTCTTTTGAAAGTTTTTATATCAGGACAAGTTATTTGTTTAGTCAAATACATTTGAATAATGAACGCTTGAGTATCTGTATAATCGTGAATGTTCTATTGTACATAATGTAGCTGCTCTTCTAAAATATATTCAATAACCTTCCAGATATCACAAAAAGTCTTCAAAAAAAAATCCACTGTTAATATTTGGAAGCCACTGAAATTTTTAATATCTGTGAAGGTGTTAGCAAAGGCCGCAGCAAAATTTTGAAAAATCAATTTTCTTTTCAGTCAACATTGAACTGTCCCGAGGATTATCTGACTATTCTGCAGCCGGTTTAAAAATGTCGACATCGAGTAAAGTCGATCGTAATTTGAATATGTTACTTGATAGCAATTTTGCGCTCGAAAAAGTCTTTATTCGATAGTAAGAAAAATACATATTTTATCGACAGATGTTAACTCACTCCTTCGAGTCTATAGTCGACAAGAGTTAACTCACTACTCCGTGTCGATACTCGCTAGCTGTTAACTCTCTACTACAAGTCGAGAGTCGACGGTAGTAAACTCATTGCTCCGAGTCGGCAGTCGACAAGCGTAACGGCGAGTCATTAGTCGAGAAAACTCACTATCCGTTTTCATTACATAGTAAGGAAAATTTATATTTTATCCAAAATTGTAAACTCTCTACTTGCTACCCCAAGTCCGATAATCGACAATGGTAAACTCACTAACACAATATTGACAGCTATAAACCAGCTTCCAATGTAATATTTGAGACCACATAAATTTTGCATCTACTTATGTTTAAAAGCCTAAAGACATTAAACATTAATTTGCTAACAGAAGAAGACCTCTTTCCATTTTCCACACACACACACACACACGCAGTATGGCTTTAATTTAAACAAATTCAGGGAAGTTTAATATTTGAAATAAATTTTTTTTTTTTTTTTAGTTTCAACTTTTATATATGGCCGTTATACAAAAATGTGTATATAATTTTTTTTTTTTCTTTTTTTTTACCTTAAAATAATAAAACTGTTTCAACTTAAATGATTAAAGGATTAACTTGATCACTTGACTTTTCAAATTGCAAATTATCAAAATAATAATAATACTAAAAAAAAAAAAAAAAATTATGTAAGTTGCGCTTCACAGTTATTTCAAAAAATTTTTAAATTATATATATATATTGTATATCTATCTATAGTGTAAATAATTGTTTTTTTTTTCGTTAACTCATTATTTATATAAATTTGAATAACAAATTCAAAACTTTGGATATTGTTGTAATGTTTTTTTAAGGAAATCTTAAAATTAATACGTATAAAAAAAATTATTTAATATTTAAGTATTATTAAAGTATATATGCATATATATATATAGATATATATATATACATACCTTATTCTCATTTTAAGCGAATTGCTCTGTTTTAACACGATTTTCAATTTTCTATAATTTTTTTATGAATAGTTTTAATTAATTTTTCTTATCGAGTTTTTTTTACACGAATTTGCTGGGACCGTTCGTTCGTGCAAAAAGAGAATAAGATGTACAAATATATATATATATGTATCGATATCTATATATATATATTTATATATATAAAAATACAGTTTAGCATATAAACCCCAAAGCTAACGATTATTGAAGGAAGCAATTAGATGTTCACGGAAATCGTAGCCAGAAAAATACTTCTTTAACACTTTGGTTGTAAAAGTTTTCTTGTTGTCCCGCTCCTTTGCGAACAAGTAGCATTTACCTGCCTGCACACACTTGACATTTATTGTTGTTGACTTTGCGAAAGTCTTCTTTTAATTGGCGAAATTTGGATTGTAGGCTGATTGCTTTTCATAAGCAGTAACACCAGGCATTGGAGGACCGCCAGCTACGGCGACATCATAGGGCGGAGGATGCATACTAGCTGCTGCTGGCATGGCCAGAACAGGCGCGATATGAGGATGTACGCTAACGGTTCGTGAAAAAAGATAATTATAAACCTTCATTGGATATAAAATATTTAAGCAAATGACTTACCCTGGCGGTGGTGCCGTTTGATTTGTGGGCATTGGCATTGGCATTGGCATTTGTGTGGGAAAACTGGAATAAAATAAGCTTTTCAGTTTTTTGTTTATTAAATATTTACACCCTACAGTGCTTGTGGTACAAAGCTAACTTCGTGTACATGTATGCGCTATCCAGAAGGACTTGAGATAGAATCTCTTCTCACATCAATATAAGATTATCTGTCCATCTAACCATCTTGTTTTCATGTATTTTGTTGAAATTTGCTACCCTGGCCTATTGTCTGTAAATTTGTCCGTCCATCCACCCATCGTGTTTTCTTATATCAATCGGTTTATCTTGTTTTCTTGTGTCACAAGTGTGGGGATATTTTAATGAAATTTGTCGTGTTTTTGCCCGAAGACCGAACGCTATTGGAAATGGTTCGGATTGGAGACCTTTTTTCTACCACTCTCCATATGAAACCTTATTTTGGAAATTCGTTATATGGGTAACTTTATGAAACAAAGTGACGTAGGTCATTTAATGGTGGGCCGCGCTGGGCTATAATGTTTTTTAACCGTTTTATTTTAAAAATGATCTTACTTTTGGGTGGGATATGGCGCTGCATAAATCTGAGCTTGATAGCCTGCATTGACGGTGCCAGTTACGGGAACCTGACTGACTGGGTAGCTACGTGGAGCGGTATTTGTTTGATGTGTTGCTGCGGTCACGACTACGGGCGCTGTAAAAGAGGGAAAGGGAAAAGGAAACAATTAATATAAAAAAAAAAATTAAAAACTTTTTTACGTCTCCTTTAGTTAGTTATACTACAACAAAGAGAATGCATCTGCATAACTCTTTTTTTTTTTTTTGCAAACTCGTGCAAGTGACACTTATTTTCTTATATATATAAATATTATTTTTGAAATTTTTAGGTAAGATTTCAAGTATTTAACGATGAATTGTAACACCTTTTTTTCTATTTCTCCTGCCTCTGCTTAAATACAAAGCAATACAACTTAACAAAAAAACCAAGAGACTAACACCTAAGGTGTATAACACAGTTAAAGACATAGCCGCAGCAAATTAAATACTGATTGTGAAACTAATAATAAAAAACCAAAAAATTCATAGAACAATGAAAAAAACTACATTGAAGTAGAGCACCTTCCGAAGGCAACAAAGCAAAAACATATGTTTGTCTTTGGGACGACTTTCCGATACCCATTCTTCTCAATATAGTTTATATATAAAACTTGCAAAAATTTTTTATGAACGATCGTAAGTGTGCGTCAAAAGTTGGCCACTTATAGTCATTCTTGCATTGGATATTTGAACAATGTTGATTAATATTTTTGACAAACTATGCAATAGTCAAGGGCGAGCGAGTTCTTGCCATTTTCAGATTTCAGCATTTCAGGCATCAGCTATCTCTATATTGAATATTCAAATCTTTAGAATGATTTATGTCAATCGATGGCAAACAAATGAAATCATGAACAAAAGTAATTCCGCTAACAACAGTCTTAAGCTAATCAACAGTGAATGTACCGCCAGCAGTCTTCGTGACTTATTGAGTTGGGCGTTGCGAAAGAAAGCATAAGTTGAGAATAACTCCGCTCTTCGGTAGTACTTAGAAAAATGATAACAAATAGAAAACAAACACGACATGATAAACAAACAAAGCAAGGCTAATAAAGATAAAGAAAAAACTATATACAGTCATGTATTTTGTAGGCAACTATATCTCATATGCTACCTACAAACTAATCGTTTTACATACTTTCGGTCTAACAAGGTTTGGAAAACTGAAAATTAAAAAATTAAAATCTTTGAGAAGACGAAGTTTGATTACACACGCACTTGTTATACCCTGCGCAACCTATGAGACAAGGACAGCACTTGGGAGAGACCCATTGCTCATTACACCATTGGACACAGAATCAGCTTATGAAGCTTGTCTGTCCGTTTGTCCGTGTTGTGAAATTTGGAACGCCAGCGTATCTTGACCCAAGGACAAAAACTATTGAAAATGATTCGGTTCAAGAATGGAAAGTTGTAGTAATAGTAACCTAACCCAATTCTTACATACATTTTATAAATTATGTTAAACTTATTTTATGTTCAACAAATAGCTAAAAATAGACCATATTTACCATTTTGTTTTTCATTTATATGGTTTTTCCATATAAAAATTCTTACCCTCGATTTATTTGATTTTACGATGCACCTATTTACTGAGTAAAGGGGCATATAAACCACACACACACACACATAAATACATATATATGTATGTATATGAAAATTTTCTTATGAAATTTTGTTTCAGATGCCCTTATAAATGAAAAAGTAAGTTAGCTTCGAGTTTTCATAACAGAAATATATGTAATTCAACTGAATGATGATAAAACAAAATTAAAAATGTGTTCAAAAAATAATAATAACGATCACAAAATTTATTTTTATCACCAAATCTATTTTTCCTTTTCAAAGCTGGTTGGAAAACTCGTAGTCGATTGTTTGAAATCGTGCTGTATGGAAACCGTGTTATAGTATTCGGAATTTTTGTACAGTGTTGTATCGAAACCATGCTTTTCTAGCACCGTGTTGAGCACCGTGGGCGACACCTCTACAGCTGTATACATAAAACAGTATGGTCGAAGAGATTTTCATGCGCGCATTCATTCGGAAGAATGCTTTTTGGTTTTTTTTTTACATTGGGAGCAGCCTATGTGATCTGCGCGAAATTTCTTACTAATGTTTTCAGAGTACACGGAAAGAAGACACTTAGGATGGGGCATAACGATATGAGTTGAATTCTAGTGAAGAAGCTTCGAAAAGTCAACCCAGCGTTAAGCTTGATCTAGTTCACAATTCTGACAAACAACTTTGCGCGAAAGACGTGTAGTATTCTCTATCTTGGCCCTTTCCGATGCCGTCTACATTTACCAATTATCGTCAATCACTTATTGGTTTACAATAGCTGACGCTACCTATATACGGAACTGATTTCATCGTTAGAGAAATAAATCATTTTTCTTAGTAAAAACATGAAGGTTTGCAGTAAAAGCAACAGAAGATGTGAATTACGTTATCAATACGAAGAATGCAATATGTTGTTGTTTTATTTATTTATTGTACCCTGTACCACAAGTGGCGTTAGTGCGGGCGTGTGTAGCTCGCAGAAGAGCTTAAGATAGACGCATCTTTTATTATACCCTGTCTAAGCCTGCCTGTCCGTCTGTCCGTCCAATGTCTGCCCATGTAATTTGTGTTCAAACTAAAGGTCGCAATTTTTCAAATACTTTGATGAAATTTGGTACGAAGACGTACTTTGGTCCGAGGATAAATGCGACCGATCCACTTTTTCGGCCACTGCACATATAACGCCCTATTCTGAAAAGTCGTTATATGGAAAAAAATTGTAATTTTCAAAATTTCCCAACAAAAGTGGCTAAGTAGTAGTATTTGGGCATTCTAAATTGGTGTAAAAACTTTGGGCCGGCTGTGGCAATTTTTGAACCCCCTTTCGTATAACGAAAACTGAAGTTCATGCGACAAAAAAAGGTATAATTTTTAGTGCTTCGTGAAGAAAATTATAACGTAATAGTAATCTAGCGTAGGAAAGTTAAAGTTACCAAATTTGGACCTTCTCGGCCTATTCTTTGGATTCTACTCTAATAAGAATTTTTACGAAAATTGAGCCTTTGTGCAGCAGAAAAGTCTAAGTCTTGATATGTGGTAATGAAAATTGACCCACAATATTGCCATAATTCCATTAACTCTACAAAAGTTGGACCATCAGCGCCTACATTCAGATCGTGCCCTATGTAAGGATTAAACTAGTACTATATTAGTTTGCGTTTTGGGCCCGCTTCTCCAGAAATACACACAAAATATGCCTCTATATAGGAAAAAAGATATAATTTTTCTATTCTTTAATAAGAATAAGAATTGTGTTAAAAGATGTGGTGTAGAGCATTTAATGGTCGGGTAAGGTCGACCATAATGAAGTTCGCCCCTAAGCCAAACCAAATCCATGTAACAGAGTTCATCAAAATAACTTAAAAATTTGGACCTGTTGATTGATCATAAGCAGACAAGACCGACAGACGGACAGGAAGACTCATATCAAATTTAAAATCAATTTTTTAAAAAGATCGTTACAATAAAAAAGTACGTCCATCTCGAGTCCTTCACCGTGGTGGGTTAAATCCGCACAGATTTCATATATCCTTGTAGCACCTTGTTGTAGCGTATAAAAGAAAAGGAAAAGTCTACCAAGACAGACGCAGCTCGTTCAGCAAAACTTGTTAATAAGCAAATGTAAAAAAGTGTAGTCTTATTACTTTTTGATCACAGTACGGCACATACGCACTACGTAACTAGATATACATATGTAAACATATTCAAACAAAATTATCAGAATTGTCTACTCGGAAGTTCTCCTTTGTAGATATCGATAAAATTAATTAATGTTTACGTTCGCCGGACTGAAGGTTAGATTCATTCTAAGTCAATTCTTTCAATTCTTTACAATTTTAACTCGATACTTGATAGAATTGCACTTTGATCTTAAGCAAGGAGCCAAAGATTGAGGACGAATATAGATTAGTGCTAAGAAGAAGAATAAGAAACGTTCAGTACGTCCAAAATGTCTTCAATGAATTGATTGCGTGCGTCAAGCAGCTTCTAGAACGTCTTGTTCAAAACAAATTCATTTTCTCCTTTTTTGCTTCTTTTAAGGCAAAAACTGGATTAATTCCATCGCTAAAATCCATATCGTATCCATTGGATATGACTCACACTGTACATTATGTCGGTTGATAGGAAAAACTCATTAAGTAAATTAATAGCCATTTAAAGATAATGATTATAATTTAATTAATTATAATTGTTTTTCGAAAATTTTACGTCATTATCGGTGGATTTAATATATATATATATATATATAAGTTTGACACTTTTGAACATGCATTTCAGAGCTCGTTCGAAGAGAATGATGAGTTTTTCTTACGATGGTGTGTTGTGAAAACTGTGTAGAACTTTGCATGGAAAGGCATACGTGCTTGTGATGTGCTCCCTTTTCTTTTCACTGCAAGAGGATTTAAGCGGACAAATGCAATAGAAGGATATTCGTAGAAATAAATCACAGCAATGCCTGAAAATGTGTACAGAGAGCTGCTCGACAATCGAGCTAAGAGCTAACATAACTGCAACGTATTCTAATCGACTTATTTTGAAGCAGATGATAAAAGCACGCAATGTGATGCTCGTTATAATAAGCGTAATGTTGTTTTTGAAAATCTTAATGTGCTTGTATACACTGCAAACTACTGCAATTTAAAATGTATTTAAAGTGTTTCCAAAACGAAGGAAATCCTTTCTGAAGGCACTGAAAATTGCATATGTTTTAATTAGTGTAGAGAGCATAAATGTCCCGCCACTGAAAGATGGGCATGTACTCATTTTGTTTTTTCTCATAACGTATGCAACAACCAAAAGGAAGCTTCAGAAAACCTTGTAAAAAAATATATATTCTTGATCAGCGTGAAATTCTGAATTGATTAAGCCATGTCTGTCCGTCTGTGTGTCTATGTAGTGCGTGGCTCCCGAAATTAACCACTCCAAATTTGATCGAAACAGTGATATAATCATATATAAAAGCATTAGATGCTAAGGATTTCAATGGTGAGGCGTGTGCGAATTGCGGCCCCAGCCGGTATATAACTCTCTTAATATTTCTTCATATTTCATTCAAGTTAATGTCTTACTGATTTTTGCGTGACATACCTGTGCCACGTGTGCTTTTTTATTGTCATCGCCGTAGAATGAGGGCTATATTCATTTTATCAAAAGACTTGCAACGCCCAGAAATAAGCTTCGGAGTACCCACAAAGTATATATATTCTTGAGCAGCATCAGATTACGAATCGGTTTAATCATGTCTTCCTGTTCGTCTGTCCGTCTGCGCAACTGTATGCATAGTAATTGTGGTCAACGTTCCCCCGTTTGGAAAAATGAAGATATCGCTTGCAAATATGCAAAGGAATTTGGAAGAGACTTAAACTTTTCAAAGGACACGTCTACATGGGCCATAGACCTATGCGAGAAAAACTTTTATTTTGAAAATAGAAGATACCAACAGCGCCTGCTCCATACTATGGAGCATGAAAATCTTTCTTCTTTCTTGTGTTTTTTTAGGGAAAACGGTGATGGGTATAAAAAAATTCGGGCTCGACCGAATTTAATTCGCTGAGGGACATATTCATTCTATTAAAACGCCCAGAAGTAAGCTTCAAACACCCCACAAAATATACATATATTCTCGATCAAATTCCGGATCCATTTAACAATGTCTGGCTGGCTGGCCGTCTGTCTGTCTATCTACGTAATGTCTGTTCTCTTTGGCCGCTAGAACGTAGCTGTCAGCTTCAAATTTGGCATAAACTGTGGAAATTCTTGCACGCAGGTTAGTATTGAATGTGGGCCAAATCTATCGGAGAACAAGTCTATAATACATCGTGAACGGAGCACAAATTTGTTCTTCAAAAAGGATAAAAAATTACTTTTTTGCTCATTAATCATAAACTAGAGCAGACACAATTACAAAAATATTGTCTATTCTACGGGCTACTACAGGCTGGAGTAAATGGGCACACCTACGCAATTGTATAGTGCGTCACAATTTAATTTCTTTTGAAAACTCTTATAACGCACAAAAGCAATTTGCAAAAACCCCATAACCCCTTGAAGGGCTTCAAACTCGGGATGCACGTAAGCATGTCCGTCCATTTATTTGTCCGTCTGTCCGTTTGCGCAACTGTGTAGTATCTGTGAAGATATCGCCTACAAATTTGCAAAGGATTTTAAAAATGACGCAAACTTTTCAAAGGACATTCCTGCAACGCCCACATGCCTAGGCAACAATAACTGTGAGCACTTTTCCTTTCCGTGTTTGTTTTGTTTCTTACTTATAAAATACAACACATGCAACAAATGTGTTTCCACTTTTACTTTAAAACTAGGAAAAAATCAACTATGCCTACCCAATATGAGTATGAAAATTTGGTTGTTTGTTTTTTTTTTTGCAATCACAGCGAAACCTATAAAAGATTCGTTCACGACCGAATATAATATTCTTACTTGGCATTTTCGCTTTTG